TCACTCAGCCACAGCATGTGATGACGTTCTCAGAACTATCCTACATGCTTCGGATTAGCTGGCCTATTCCGGCTAGCTTGAAGGCTTCTGCCTTATCATGCAAACATGTTCATGGAGCTCAGCTCCGCTGATCAGGCTCAGAGCCTAAAATGTTCACAAGGAGGAATTCAACTACCGCTAGGCAAGATAGGAATTCTGCACTCCTCCTTGCACCGATCCCTTTAGGAGAAGGTGCACACCTGTTCGATTCCGGTTCTTGCCGCTGTTTGAAGGCAGTACTTACAGAAGTAACGCCTGTTAGTAGAAACACCCCTAAGGGCTTGGCAAGCCGGAAAGATATGAACTACACCTGGGGTACGACTAGTGGAGGTAAGAACCTGAAGCTCATGCAGTTCGTCATACGTCATACCCCTTGGTTCATCAGTCTGAGTGCCTACCTCACGTCTCTGGTTGGGAAAACTTTCAACCCTAACTGGAGGTGGTGGAGGTCTGGCAGTAGAGTGACCAATTCCAGGTCGGATAATGTGGTCATCAACCACCGAGGTTGGTGGCGCAGGAGTAACTTCACGGACGGTTGTTACTCGGTTCTCAGGCTGGTAGTCCAATGGAGGTGGAGGTGGTGGTAATGCTTCAGTCCTGAGAATCGGCTCCTCCTCAGTGGAGGTTTCATGCCTCCTTCGCAGGCCCTCAGCCTCAGTGGCTATTGCACGACGTACCGCCTCCTGCCTCCGAGTCCTCCTAGCGGTCTGTTCCTCTGGTCTCACTGACCTCACACGGTGCTGTTCTCCAAAGCACAGTCGGAGACAATACTTTCCAACCTCCCAAACAAACAAAACAGATAACGCCATCATCACAATAACCAAAGAAAGCTCTGGGCTTACACTATCTTCAACTTCATCATCCTCAACGGATACACCCTGCTGGGTCTGCAGCATCATCAGGACTGCTAACAACCAGACACTAAGACCTTGCAACCTGGCCCTATCAACCTGATCAACATCTTGGGTCACCCTTGCTATCTGAGGTGGCGGGCCTAAACCCAACATACTACTCAGAGTTTGGTGACGCGGACCAGGTAATATTTTCGTAAGGATATCTGCGAGCTGGACATCACAGTGCTCCACCCGGATCTCCTCCCTTTTTAGTAGTTCCCTGATAAAGGATGATCTCACACGCAAATGTCTCGTACGTGTAGATCCGCCCCCTTCCGCAAGAACTATAGCAGCAATGTTGTCGACGTGAAGGGTGGTAACTCCCAAGCAGATATCAAACTCTCCAATCAAGGCTGCAAGGCTTTGGCTCAGCACAGTGGCCTCTGTCGCCGCTACCAGCTCTGCTTCTGCCGTGGATAAACACACTATCGTTTGCCTTTGCCCCTTCCAGAGCACATTTTTTCCTCTGAACTGAAGCAATATGCCAGAAACCGACTTCCCCCCGAAGGGAGCAAACGATGCGTCTGAATACGCGTTGATACCAGGCAAAACATCACTTGCGGGAGTCAAAGATAACATCTGATCAACGGTCGAAATCAAGAACTCAATAAGTCTTATTCCAATCTTGAAGACCAGGGAGGCACCTGAGCCCATCAAGCTTACGCAATAAGCCACATCCGGCCTAGAACGTTGTGCGACCCACAGAACCTCCCCGGTAATGCGTTGAGCTCTGCGGGTAACCTCAACAGCTGGCTGGTCCTCAGGCTCAGGCATATCCCGGACCCACTCTTTAGGTACTGGAGACGCCCTGCCTTTTGCAGTCAACTCATAGCTTCTTGCCAATTCCTCAATGTAGGCTCTCTGACACAACGCAAAGCCGGACTCGTCAGTCCCTATAGTCTCCACGTGCACCTCCACACCAAGAAACGTTATCGAACTGGAGGGTGTCGCTTGTTCTAGCGGGGTGCACTCCCACTTAGACTTCACCCAGTTGTGCAGTCCGACTGCTTCGTCGAAGCCTGCTAGGAACATCATATCGTCGACATAAACTATCACAAACCCTACGGTGTTCCCGGACGTGGTAACGATCCTCCAAAGATTACTTTCAACACCGGATTGTCTCAGCCGTAGAACACCATACTGATCGCTATGCCATTCGGCTCCGGCCAACACTGTATCACGGTGGTCGCCCCACCAACGGGGCGACTGTCTCAGTCCGTAGACAGCTCTGTCTACCCACCATAGTTCACCTTGCTGGGTTATGTTCATTATTTCTAAGATTTTCGGAGGCCTAAGTAAGATTCTGGTACGCTCAGCCTCGGGTATTGGGGCGAGGAGGAATGCGTTCTTTATGTCAGTTATGAACGCACTCAACCTTCTGGCCGACGCTTCAACCAGACAGGCACGCAAAACGTCTGCAGGTATCCCGCTGGCGTAGACGTCAAGATCTCCTGACCTCGACTCGAAATTCCCACATCCAACAACCCTACACTTTCTGCGATAGAAACTTCCCCCGCTTCCCGGCTTGACAGTAAACACTGTCTTCGCAGGTAAAACCTGTGTTCCTGGAACCTTTGCCTCCTCCTCCGCTGCTCGCCCAACAAGGCGAGTGATAGCACACATCTGCTCAAGTGCCTCGACCTCAGTTCTGGCAGCTGGGGTCCAATCCTCAAGATGTTGCCTCACTTCCGAAGGCGAAACGTTATGCACAACACTTAGGGGAGCTGTCAGATCCTTCAGGATGCGCTCAACCTCCGGAGTGTAGAAACTTTCATCGACCCTTTTCACACTACTGCCTTCAAGGCTGGATCCTACTTCAACCGACGACTCGTCTTGAACAACCTGAGTAATCGTAACCCCATCTTGCGTCGGGACCCCTATACGGTTTCTATCATATCCTTCAGAAGTCCCCTTTGGCGATTCTTTGCTCTCATCCCTTTCACAAGACACCATCTGTATGAAAGCCGGACTGCTTGCCGGCCTTGCAATACTATGCCTCCTCCTGGACCTCCGGTCACAGGGAAAACTGGCACTCCTTCCACGACTGACGCCAGCAAAACTAAAACCCCAAAGAGACTCTCCGTGACCCAGACCAAAACAAACAGGACCTGACCAGGATGATTCCGATGGGTAGATTCCTAACTCTTCAAGTGGGTCAACATATACACCAGGCAGTCGGTACCCTACATCTAGACCGTAGAGCATACCATTGTGCCTAGAGTTAGTAACCTGACCTTCTGCACCAGTGCTCGGCAATGCACCTGTGACCTGACCTTCTGCACCTGTGCTCGGCAATGCACCTGTGACCTGACCTTCTGCGCCTGCACTTGGCAATGCACCTGTGACCTGACC